CTATTGGAATGGTTTCTGCCAGCAGTTGATCCTGTTAACACTTAGTCACTGTAAGTCTCTGTGCTGAGCTGTAGTTCCAGGCATGATGTGATGAGATCAGAATCTCAAATTTCACCAAAAATGAAAGTATCCTTCTAGGTGCCAAGGCTGTAAGAAAGACTGAGGCAAAAAGGTGAATCAGACTATTTATCTGGACTTTTAACTTTTTTGCCATCCCAGAATAGAAGAAAGGAAGGGAAAGGGATGTCTAGGATGAGTAAAGCCATGAGAGTCTTAGAGGTGAATCATGATTTACTTTTTAGGGGCTCTGGATTCAGACCAGCTGTACACTGCTATGTGCAAAATACACATTAATATTTAAAGAAAGAAATGTATTTGAAAAATCCAGTTTAACTCTCTGTGTCACAACCTTAACATTTACCATTTTAAGATAATAAATTATCTATTCTAACAACATAGTCCTAGACGACCAATGGCCATATGATTTTCTATTTATCTATACAAAAACATTTAAAATAATTACACTGAGATCTCAACAAAAAGGAAAAATGCTTTGTTAGTTCATACCACCTCCCTGTATACTGATATTTCACATAAACTATGACTGAACTAGATCTCGGCAAATCTAGGAATATCTGTGCTCACCTCAGGCTCTGAAAGCCATTGGGACAATCTGCCAAGCTCATATGGCTTACCAAAGCCTAAGCCTGTCATAGAGAAAAAAACAGAGTATAGGTAGACTTCTAAAATAAAAGTTGTGGCTGTGACATGAAGTAATTAATTTGCAGTGGCAAGATACAAAAAAGACTGGGGGTTTTTTTGCATTGTACATGTTACTCACACAGCAATTTAAATGCTTAAGCAATGAAAAAGGAGGATGTCAACCATGCGGTATTTTTAAAAATTGATCACCACAAGTCAGGTGGTGAGCACATCTGAATATGCTTTCAAAAAGCAGTGAAGTTTCTCAGCATTTAACAGTAACAGCCAGCACCTTTCAGTGTCAAACCTTAAATAGGCTGCAGTTCTTCAACTGTTTTGAAAGGGTTAAATGAAAGTGTCTGGAATTCAGGCTGATTCAGTAGTTCTGTATAATTTGAGTGAACAGGCATAGTTTTCCTGTCTTACAAAATGGTATGGTTGCAAATTGCATCTAAATTCTGAAAGAAATCTTTTTCTACCATCAGTAAATCTAATTTCTTAAGAAGGTCAACAGAAATAAAGATAATGGCATTGTGACAGTATGATCATGTTTTAACTAGCTGTAAAATTAAAAAAAAAGGTAGTTTGATTCTGCTGAAAAACAGCAAGGCAGAAAGATGGAACAAAACATGAAGCAACAAGTCATTCCTGCAGAATTTTAAGAGAAAATTATTCAGTAAAATGATCATGATTTGTAAAATTTACCCTAGCAGCAGCGTTTGCTTAATACTGTCTCCCAGCTAGAAATAGTACTTATTTTTGCCTGACAGAGCCATTGTGAAAATATGCTACACCCCAGCATTAGTATTTACAAAGCCAGAAAGAAATCCAGGCTGTATTGAAATGCATGAAAAAAATTTATACGCTTTAATATGGAAAGTATCGATCATTAGGGCTTCCTAATCTACCAAAGTAAAGCAACAGAGATGGTAAAACTCGGAAGAAAGCTCCATTTGACATTTTATACCTGTAATTATTATGATAGTTTTATCCTCCATCTCCCTGGTTGTTTTTCGTTTCCAGCTGATGCTAGTTTAAGTGCAAAACTTTTAACAGTGAACTACACTTGTTATTTGTGGCTTTTTTTCCCCCCCAAAAAAGTCTATTTAAATGCAAATGCTAAAATTATCAATCCTTCAGGATACTGAATATTATGCATTACACTATTGCAAGTAGTGCCTAGCATAATGGAGCCCTGACACCCCCCAAACCCAGTGTTTCCAGGCACATGTAAATACTACACTACAAATGGCTTATGTTAAGGATACCTGTTCATTATTATTACTACAAAATTTGAGTTTGTTCTATTTTCTCCATTTCATATCATTATGTAGAATGTCCATATATAGCTCATGCTTTACTAATAACTTCCCATAATTCTTTATTTATGACATATTCACTAAATATACCCTGATTTACCTTTTTATGTTTATACCTCCAATACTTAAGTTTTTTAAGTGTTCATCAATATTTCTGAAGAATTGACTGAAAAATGTTAAGCAAACTGTTGCAAAAATAGAAAATAGTAAGCTGTTTGAAAAAACTGGCATCAGTAATATCTCTGATATAGTCATATTAAAATGCCAAAACAGGATTATAGCTTGTATGGAGTTATTTGCTCTCACTTGCATTTCTAGGGGCTCTCATGAGAATTTGCTGAAATACAATGTATAATCAAAATACCATGTTCTTTTTCAATTAATAATTAGTATTACTTTGTATTAAAATTATTTAATTGTTCTCATATGTGTATTCATCTTTATGAAAAAACAGTGCACAGCAATAATCACAATCTGAGTTCCTCTGTTTTCATTGGCATAATTGTTCTATTTTCTCATCTTTTCCTGTCCTGAGAGGTAAGAAACCAGAAGGATGCAAGTGGGATTTTTCCTTCCCTTTCTTATCATTTATGTTCATGGCTTTAAGAAAGAATTCTAGTGGCAAGTCTTCTGTTTTTGAGAGAAATTGAGAAATTATTCTAGCAGCTTTCACATTATACTTCTACTGCTTTTCCCTTCCAGTGAATCCTCACATGTAACAAATCTTAGAGATGATACTCCAGAGACAAGTGTAGCACCTAGCCCAGCAGGCCAGGCAGAACCAGTGCTGCTGTTGAATCAACAGATGCACGTGTTGCCCCAAAGAGAAAGAATGCTGCTGAAGAGAAATGGATGTAACTGACTAAAATCAGAGGGTTACATGCAGTCCTTTTGTTTGATGAATTTAATGTAACTCTGCAAATCCTATGCCAGTCATGAATATTTAGAAAGTCAAGTCCTGAGCTTTTTAGAGGGCTAAATCTACTTCCTTAATTAAATGATGGCAAAAGTAATATACACATAATAGATACAGTTATTCAAACCTATTAAAATCAATGCTAACTTCCTACAAGTTTTGAGATTTCTTAATTAGAGACAGAATAATTGGTATAGAAATTAATTGTGTTCCTCCTTAAAGTTTAGAGCTTTTTTATTACTACCTCAATTTTGAACATCACAGGGAGCATTTTTTTTTCATATTTAATGCCACAGGTAGCACTGATGAGCTGCTACACTCATAATTTTAGTCCTGTTACAGAAACTCAGTTGTTCAATTCCATTGAAATATATGGGATCAACCAGGTAAATGGTCATGAACATGACTGAAGATTCCACAAACTGTTCTTGTCTGGAATTTCTTTTCACAAAAAATAAAATTATTTTAGGTATGAATTAGATTGTGTGAGTCCTCAAAAAGAGGTGAGTTTTGTAAGGTGGAAAGTAAAGAATGTATTGTAAAGAATGATAGCATGTAGTTATCAAAGGAAGATCAGATTGGCAACACAGCTAATACACCCAAAAAGTTGTAAAATGAAGGGGAATGGATCTTCTGGATGATGTAAAATTGTGTCACATAGAAATCTGCTGGTTTCTCAATAAAAACCCACATTTTCCTATTTTAGGAAGCTCATCTCTTTTGACAACTGTTCAAAGACAAAAAAATTAGTATAGTATTCACAGTAAAAGTGTGTGCTAGTAATCTATCCTTCAGAGGTAATGGGAAAAACTTTCAATGCTGTGCACAACTTCTGAGAAATTTTTTAATAAACAGCTGTTTTTTATAACTCCTGAGACACCAAAAGAAACTAATTACACTATTGAGCAAAACTATACAAATTAAAACACCAGGCCAGGTGAGAGAGCCTCCCTATGACTGGATGTGCACGTTTCAGCAATGCACCTCCAAAAGTCCTTCTAATAAGGCTTCAAAGAGTTTATTCACTTATTAAAAAAACAAAAAAATATAACCAAAAGTTACAGCTGAAACATTCAAGATCATAAAAAATAGACAAGTCCTACTTTAAAGAAAAATAAAAATTATACAAGACCTTATTTCTACCTGTCCCTTTCAATATGTATCAGCCAGCCTGGCAGTATGGTATGACCTGAAAGTTACATGATGAAAACAGTCCATAACAATGCATCGTAAGGCTTGTATAGCTTTCAGTATGGCTGTACCTTTGGTACTGTAAATTGCTTTATAACTCCATAGATGTCATTAAAGCTCGAACAATTTGCATCATCTAAGTATGTAGATCCAAATGTTGAGAGACCTCAAAGCTTGCTGAACAAGCGTTAGCCCATTCCACAAGAAAATGTAATTGAAAGAAATCCTAAGAAACTCTCATTTACTCTCAGTTAATAGTTATTTCTGCCAAAGAACAAACATACAGTCATATTTTTGTATTTGCCTAAACAACAATAGACAGACCTAAAAATATTCAGAAGTTCTGTAACAATTGGTTGTAGAACACCTCAGAGCTTAAATTAACTCCATCCAGCTCTCTGGGTAAAATTCTGTTTTTAAATAACTGAAAGTGCAAATGAAGATAGAAATTCTTTGCTGAAGTATTTCAGCCTTTTGTCATCCTTGGCTTATCAAGAAAATACCAGGGAGAAAAAAGGAAAGAAAGACTTTCCTAATTCTTTCTTATTTTTACCACCTGCAAATCATATGTCTGTCTACTGAAATAATGAAAACACACTGTTATAAATGTAGGATGTAGTAAGGACAAAGGAAAAGAAGTTAGACTAATTTCATTTTTTCAAATTTCAGAAAGCCTTAAAATTAAATCCAAAGATTCATATTCTGAGGGAACTGGTTTATTTTACTTTATATTGCAACTCAACTTTCAGAGAATTAAAATCAATTGCAAACATTCCATTGGAGTAAAATTAACAGAGAAAAGTGTGTCTGAACTTAATTTTGATTAAAATAGAAAATATATTTAACAAAAAGGAATCAACTTTTTAACTTACCAGCTTGACCAAGTGTATACTCCTGATATCTCGTTCCTATTCTGTTTGTGGCTGTACAATTATACCGTCCAAAATCACTGTCAGATGTGGGACCAATCTTTAAAATGAATAGTTTGTAAATATTATTTTCTAATCAATGATGAAAGTTCTTTAAAAAAATCAGAAATGCAAATACAGTCTCCTTAACCAATATGCAAATGCATTCTTACTTCAGCCTATCCAGTATGTTCTCCAAATACAGATCTAAATACACCCTTTTTTTGTCTTCCCCTTCTCAAATTCAAATGAGGAAATGAAATAATGGAAAATAATTCATGTTTACAATTTCACTCTTAAACAAGAAAAAAATCTAATAAAGTTCACATTTTTTTCACCAATGTTGTTTGCACAAACTGTTATTTTGACTGAAATAAGCAATGAAAGGTCTGAAAATGCTGATTCCTATAGATGATGCAAAAATAATATTTTACTTTTTCTTGTTTCAGGATTTGCAATACACCAGACATTCAGGGGGGAAATATGATGTAAGGGATGTAACTCAATTGTAAATTCAGGTGAATAAGGATTTAAGACAGAACAGATAATAGATACCACAGGGAGCTAAGGCCTTGTTGGAATTCAGGTTGCTTGACCCGCTGTTTGGGTGACAGTAGAATGGAAGAGCACTTAGAGAACCACAGACTATAAAGCATATTTTGAGTTGTTAAGCTTTACTTAAAAAAACAACCCTAAATATGACCTCCAAACAAGAGTAAGTCTCTTTAAATATATATCTTCTACTACAAGAAATGAGGTTACTTGTTTGGACTTTAAGAAAAAAAACATAGTTTTTTTCAGTGGACTGTACACCTCTTTTTTGGGATCTGAAGTAGGTCCCCCACTGTGATTAGCTCTATAGCTTCTCAACCTTTTTTCCTATGGCAACTGAGAAGCTTATGCTGAGACATAAGAGTGGTACTAGATAGAAATGGAGAAAATTAAATTTTTCACACATGTGGAGGAAGACAGTATGTCATCCCTGTAACAGGTGAGACCAGGGCTGCAGACACTGCTTACACTTTGTTGTGAAATGATTAATTAAGGACCATGATTTGCTATACACTATTGCTGAGTCATTCACTGTTTAGTCAAGTTAATAAAGTAAACGCATAATTAAGGTCCACTCTTTGTCCTCTGCCTTTCTCAGGTTTTGTTCTCACATGTACCTTTTAGATAACAGAAGGAAGTTCAGTTCTTATTTTACCACTGCCTCCGTAAGGACACAGTTGTTATCAAAGTAAATTGCAGTTTATTATCACTTTACCCTTCTGCTTTGTTCTTGACTGAAACCGCACAAATCGTTTTGTATATACCAAGCACCTACCAGGTAGTCACTTTCATTTTTAGTGTTAACCTGATGGGTTAGTTTTATATTTATTTATGTATTTATTTACTTGCAAGAAACACAAGTTACATTTTTGTTCACTGCAGATGAAAAACTGAGCACAAGTCATACAAATAAGGTTTATGTTCCCACTGCTCACAAGAAATCTGGAGAGAAATCAGTTCATAAATAGTTGGGTTTTTTTAAAAGAGCTTTAGTTATGAAATTGTAAGTCTTATCCTTAAATGCACTCTATAGTACTTGCAATGGTACCAAGCTGAGGAAGAAATTAATGTCACCACATTGTTTTCTATTTTAAGCCTTACCTCTAGAATAAGCTTTCTCCCTGCACTGTAGGTCTTCAGATGTGTTGTATTTTTTACCGGTAAAACTAATTTTCCTCTTCTCCACTGAACTGAGGCAGATGGATTTGCTAACACTTCACAGCTTATATTGATGGGATTGCCTTCCCAAGAGTAATACATGGTTTGATTTGACACAAACATTGGAGCATCTGGAGAAAGGAAGTAACACACAAATATATTAACTGTTTTAGTAAAACAAGCCATATACTGCTATCCAAGCATTCATGTTCACATAGAAATTTCAATTGATTGCTGTATCAATTTATAACAGAAGATGAAAATATCAGTATTCAGCCTTCAGTTTCTTGAGCTTTTATTTTGGTAGCTTTCTCCTCTCCTGAAACGGTTTCATCTGAAATTCTCAGGAATAGAATACCTGCTAATTGTATTTAGCATTAGGCAACATCAGGCGCCATTATCTCAGAAATGACAAAGAACATTTCTTCCTGAAGATGAGAAACTCTTCAGCCAGATCCTTGTATGAAAAAGGGGGGTGACCTATAAAACTTATATATATAACCTGCTCATTTGCTGATTTTATAGTGTCTTCTTTTGCTATGGAGAAATTACATTCAGTCTCCAAATTTCCATAGATGTGTAAGAGCTTCACCCATTTCTCACTGGAACTATCTTATACTTTATGAAATCTTTCTAGACAGAGCTATTTAGTTGTGTGAATAAACCTAGAAGAAAATAATAATAAAAGAATAATTATGTTGTAATGTTATTCTACCTACTTCAGAAAAAATACTGTGTTTATCAATACACTATTTAGGATAAACTTTATACCAGTTCCTTATGAAATCATCAAGCTACAGACAAGCAAAAAGATGGTGCATCTTCCTTACAAACCTGCCTATAAATGGCTACATTAAACATATAGCCAAACAGTGAGTCTGACACAAAGGAAACTGCTGGTTTGCGAACTATCTATGATTTCCAGATCACAATGCCAGTAGTGACAAGAATTTTCTATTCTACTCACTATTTCTCTGGATAGCAGGAACAGTTTAATGATTGCAAGAAAATGAGAGGCAGTAGCTCCTTCCCTGCTCTTCTACTTATGTGTTGGGTAAACCGCATTTTTTGTCTATCAAATATTTATTTGTAAATAATAATTTTTTTTTAATCCCACTCTTGTATTTTAAGAGTATCAAGAAAATATTATTTACATTACTGAAAGTCAAGGAAACTCTCTAGCACTTTAATTCCAAAAGAGAATTATCAATTACAGCTAGTGTCATGGTATCTCTTTTTCATATTTAAAATATATTTATGTTTGGGGTTTTTTTGATAAATAGCTCCTAAACATTTCTAGATGTATCTCTGGAAATTCTATTCTAGTCTTCTCACGAACAGCTTAACTTTAGGCTAGAAAATTGCTAATAGGTCTATCAGAGACCAGAACTGAGCACATTTAACTAAGTAGTAAGATTTAGCTTCAGGAATGGTTTAAAACTACTTCGTTGTTTCTGAAGTACACATTTTCAACTTCTTTCTGTGTTCACTTTTGTCAAAAAGCATAACTTTTTGGTGACACTATGCTGCTGCTGCATACATGCATACAGGCTTTGACAAAAAAGAACTGTTATCAATAGAAGTTTTAAAGCACAGATCAAGGCTGCTACATTGCTCAACGCCAGCAGCATTTTTTTAAATAACTATTCAGCCCTTATTTTTGTAGGAAAGCAAGTGATTTCATCTAAATATGTAAAGTATGTCTTCCTATGAATTTATTTACCAGATACAGGAGCTCATCTTTCCTTTCCAAATCTTTTAATAAGTAATTCTATTGCTTCTTGATTTCCACAGACCTTTAAAAAAATATATTTCATCATCTAAACATCTTAATGCAAAGAATGGACTATCAAAGAGTCTTCAGGATGTGACACCTTACACTAGTGGACCTCTATGAAGAAAAAAGCAAACTGCATATGCCTGGTTTATGGTTAAGTATGGTCAAGAATCTCAGAATATCAAGAGTCAGAGCCTTGGCTTCTCCTCTGGAAATGAAGTTAGTGGTGGGAGCCACTTGAAGGAAAATGGCACAAACTGACTTCTGCCCGGCAGACAGTCTTTGCACCTAATGTGTTCAAAATATGGATCAGAAATCTCATCAGAGTGTTCATGAGGCACAAAATGTGGTTACTTCACAACAAATTTTAGATAAGCACTCTCTTCCAATGCACAATTTCTCAGAATAAGTTCACTGCATTAATGAACATTAATGAACGTGGAAGATAGAAAGATGTTCTGTCTAAACCTGACTAACTTTCCTCCCTAGGTAACATCATGTGGTTTGATGCTTTCTGTTGATTTAAATACACATGTGGCAAACTCATATCCTATTTAAAAAGTCTTACAAATGAAGAAGTAGCATACACTTTTCTATTGCAGGTACAAGCATTTAGGAGAAAAGGCACTTTCAGTTCAGACTGCTGCCTCTTCTACAGCTAGATTTGGATGCCTGTAGTATCTGATTATTTATAATTTAAAAGAATAGGTGAGTTATGGACTGACATCTATACATGACTACAGATACTAACAGACAGTTATAACATCATAAAACAGAAATGGGAGTAAAAGTCCATCAAATAAATATATATCCCCAAATCAACAACTCGCAAATGTAAAGCATTCCTAAACAAAAAGAGTTTCACATTTCCCTTCTCAGAAAGTCTGGGTAAAAAGGCTTGGCAGCCATTTCCCCAGCAGCTGAAAGTTCCAATATAGCAAAACGAAGAGGACTATACTAATGGCTTGATTCAGACAAACTGTCTTAAGACAGACAGATGATTTTTGATTCCTAGTCAGGAATAGATTAAGAAACCTGGAGTGATGTTTCACACAAAGAAAATAACTCTGGAAATCATTTTTTACAGTACAAATAAAAGATATTTTATGTTTCTTAGAAAATAAAAAAAAATGAGTTGGAAGGGAATAACGGGTTTATAAAGATATTTTGTTTTTTTTCTTGCATGCTATTCATCACTAACTGTATTATATTATGCTTAAATGGTTACAGAATTAGTATTTATCAAACACAAACACACAATATGTTTAATATGAAATAAACCATCAAAAAATAGCAAACCCTAGAGCCAAGGCTTTGAAAACATAAGGTTGACTATTTTATATGTCTACAAAATCTGATCCCTCCAGTTTTCTAGAATAACTAAGAAATAAATTAAGTTAATAAACAGAACATTTATCAAGAAATTCTATCAAGTGGAAATGAAGTATAACCAAGTCAAAATGAGAAGATGGACCTTCTCATATGTTAACATACGTTAAGGATACTTAAATACAATATATGTACTATATAAAAAGAAAAAAGCTTCAATGCTTTGTGAGAAAGTTAAAACCATTCAGAAATAAAAACATGCTCTGTTTAGCTTCTGTGTAACTCAGTATTAATTATCACCTCACAAAAAAATCAATTCAAAGTGTAAATGAACTGTTCTTTTTAAGCTTTTGTACGTAAAGTACTACCAGTTAAGACAACATACTGGATTTCTAAGTAGCTAAATAGGAGCTTGAATACACTTCATTTTAAAAAAGGCAACCCTGATGATATTTATTACATCTGAAACTTATGGCACTCTACTGAAAAAAAAAAAACCCAAACTGCAGAATAAGTACAAACACTACTGTTCATATTAGTTAGTATAGGCACACAATAAATCATAGAATCATAGAATGGTTTGGGTTGGAAGGGACCTTAAAGATCATCTAGTTCCAACCCCCCTGCCAAAGGCAGGGACACTTTCCACCAGACCAGGTTGCTCAAAACCCGTTCAACCTGGCCTTGAACACTTCCAGGGATGGGGCATCTGCAACCTGTCTGGGCAACACATCCCAGTGCCTCACCACCCTCACAGTGAAGAACTTCTTCCTTATATCTAATCAGAAATGACCTTCTTTTAGTTTAAAAACATTGCCCCTTGCCCTATCACCACAGGCCCTGGTAAAAAGTCTCTCTCCCATCTTATAAGCCTCCTTGACATATTGAAAGGCTGCAATAAAGTCTCCCTGGGGCCTTCTCTTCTCCAGGCCGAAGAATCCCAACTGTCTCAGCCTTTCTTCTTAGGACAGGTGTTCGACCCTCTGATCATTTTTGTGGCCCTCCTCTGGACCTACTCTAACAGGTCCATGTCTTTCTTGTGCTGGGGACCCCAGAGCTGGACACAGCTCACAAAAGCTGAGCAGAGGGGCAGAATCACCTAGAATCATAGAAACATTTTGATTGGAAAAGACCTTTAAGATCATTGAGTCCAACCGTCAACTATGCCCGCTAAACCATGTCCTCAAGTGCCTTGTCTACACACTTTTTGAATACTTCCAGGGATGTTGACACCACCACTTCCCTGGGCAGCCTGTTCCAATGTCTGACAACCCCTTCAGTAAAGAAATTTTTCCTAATATCCAATCTAAACCTCCCCTGGCACTACCTGAGGCCATTTCCTCTCATCCTATTGCTTGTTACCTGGGAAAAGAGACCAACACCCACCTTGCTACAGCCTCTTTTCAGGTAGTTGTAGAGAGAAATAAGGTCTCCGCTCAGCCTCCTTCTCTCCAGACTAAACAGCCCCAGTTCCCTCAGCTGCTCCTGATAAGACTTGTGCTCCAGGCCCCTCACCAGTTTTGTTACCTCCCTCAACCTGCTGGTGATGCATCCCAGGATACGATAAAGTTCGTAAGTAGTGTTATAAGCTTGAATGGTGAAAGATGGAGCATTATTTTGGACAGATGAGGCAAACCAAATGAAAAAGATGCCTCGAAGGAACAAAGACTATATCACAAAGGTAAAAAATTAAACAAAACTATTCTATGAGAGTAGGATTCTATAAGCAATTATAACTTTAGAATGCCATTTTAGACTAGTTAATATTATGTCACTAACATAAGTTAAACTCAAGCTGTTCATTTTCCCAAACAAGAAAGAAATTGACAGGTCAGCATTCCAATTAGGAGAAGTGGTTCTGGATAACCTGCATAAGACAACTAAGTAAAAGAAGCAAACTCTGACCTGAAAACTGTCTCTAGCATTTAGATATCCTTTTTAGGTATAATATCTGAGAACAGTGATTTCAAGAACAGGCTAATACATCATCTGTCTCATCCAGAAGGTAATTCAATTAACGACTTC